GGGGGGGGGGGGGGGGGGGGGGGGGGGGGGGGGGGGGGGGGGGGGGGGGGGGGGGGGGGGGGGGGGGGGGGGGGGGGGTCGTGAACGAAACATCTCTGCTTGGTGAGTGGGAGCCGAGAAGGTGGGGTAGTGCGCTCATTGGCATTGGTTTTCCGCATAAACAGTGCCGAATCTGCTGCAAGATTTGAAAGCGTTTTCCGCGACTTTCTTGCTTGAACCACTTGTGTGTGGCGTTTTCCCGCTTACACTGTAGGGCTGCAGCGTAGTGGCGTTTTCGTCGGAGGTGAGAGCGAAGGAGGATGCAGAATGGATAATGTGGCAATAGCATTCCTGGAAAATTCTGAATTGCCAGGAATATCACATCTCTAAGATCAAATGTGTGGCGGCGACGTTCCGCACGAACACCTACAGTTCGTTGAACCTGAATGTTAATCATCTTTCATATTTTCAACTAACCGAGGGTACGAGTTCGTTGTGTATCACTGGGCACTGGTCTACTGCGGGTTGTACGTGCTCCGCTCCAAGTACCTGTGAACAGTGAGTTGAGAGTGAATTCTTGATACCCATTCCGACCCTATTTGTTGCAATATCTTCCGCTTGATGCTGTTTTGCTTCCGTTGCGGGTTTGGGGTATTATTGGCGAGTCATGTCATACGCACTGTGCGCTTTCTGACAACGATGTCAATTACGTCTAACCCCCGTTTCGACGCTCGCGTCCGAAGAGACCATGAAACCACGAGGAACATGTAGACTTGATTGATGTTTATATGTATTCTAATAATGGTTGACGCCCGGTATACATACGGTGTTTCGCGGAAGCGGCAGCCGTGTAACTAGAAGGCGAAGACTATGGGAGGGAGGCACATGAGCGTTGGTCGTGAGGATGATGTGAAAAACTGACGTTCAGAAAACACAAAATCAATTGTCACTTACAACAAGATCTCGAGCGGTAAGGTACGCAACACCTGGAGAAGAAAGCGAAAGATCAAGGTTGGAAAATGTCAGCCGGGATCGTTTGCTGGTGAGCTTGAGGAATCGAACCCCCCACGCCGTTGCACAGTTTCAAAGATTTGTCTGGAATTTTCCGTCACGACGGGACAGACATACATGTGATACTTTCGTGCGGTGGTACTGGTGTCGGGCTTCGAATTTGCGACGCCTTGGCATCAAGGGAAGGTTAGCTGGAGTGAAGATAAGCTGGAGTAATCACTCTTTCGCTGTTCGTCGGCCAGGGAATTGTCACGCAGCAAGGAGCGACAGTTTACGAAAAAGCCAGAGAGAAAAAAAGTGGAATAGTCCGAAAGAAAAAACGAAGACCGAGCGCGTGAGGAGGCCCAAAGACAAAAATCCACAATAAATGCATTGTCACGTAAGAAATTTGCCGTTTCTTCTCCGGTTGCCCAAAAACGATACCGTCGACTTCGCTCAGGGTGAAAGATGAGGGCTACACGCTGGAGCATGCCACGAACAGCTGGGACCACCGAGCCTGGGCGCCAATCGTCGTTTCAGTTCTGCGGGCGTTAAGTGCCATACACGCTTCATAATTTCCGCCGGCGGCGTAACATTGTCAAAATGGGCCTCAACTTGTCTCTTTTCGCCATCTCATTTTCACTTGGCCCTGCCAGCTCTACCCTACTATACGTCCGGTTGGAAACGACACGCAGTAAACCGTAAATCCGTCATGTCAACCGACCTGTAGTCTACTGACAGGGAGGCAGCTTGCACATGCTGGCGCACGATCAAGCTCACACACGCCGGCGTACGATCAATCACGCACGGGGCTGTATCATCGAAGCCCTTACGCGTTACTACTCCCTGCGCCCCCACACAACACTTTCTGGATAACGAAAACAGTCCTCTTGACTGTAGTCTAGCGACAAAATTATGCACACCCCGGCAACACTGACTTCACACACTACAGTCTTACATGGCCTACGTACACAGTAGACCATACATACACATACACATTCCCGGAGAATCTTCCTGTCCGAGACAGTACCTACTACCTAAATCGAAGGGTAAGGATTTCACAGTGGGTGCAGAGAAAACCTGCTTGATACTGGACATACTTCGTTTACAATAGTACATAATACCTAGACTACTCAATCGAAGATTGTGTCGAGGCTTTCTGAGTGAGTTGCTGTTGTTTTGTCTTCACATTAAAAAACCCGTTCCGGCCTCCACTCAGTACCTTCTAATGTCCGTACTGGTCCAACTGACGCGGGCGCCTTCCGTGGTCACAAGCCAACTGCGCCCCCAGAGGGGGGGGGTACACCTTTCAAAAAGTTATAGCGATGAAAATGGACACCAGAAAATTCGTCCAAGGCGCAAGTTGTGGAAAAACAAAATGGCAAAGACGGCAGAGAAAAACCTGCTTGATTCTGGCTGATGTTGTCTACAAGTCAAAGTCTTAACACACGCTGGAGGGATCAGTGACACACGTCGGCACCAATCAATATCGTTTCATGAAACGTTGTCACAACAATACATTACCCCCAGGCATATTGTACGATAGGTTGGCTACATGGATGAGCTTCAGGACGGCCAACCCAATCCCTACTGCCCATCTTACCGTTGGTGCTGATGGCTAACATTCGTGGCAGCGTATTGTGCAAACAAGAGTCTAGGAGTACTCGACTCGACGACAGCTATTCGACGCACAAACATCCTCACCCACACACTTCACCGAGAGGTCTCTATTGCAGGGAGGAAATCGAAATGCTGCCTACCCGACACGAGCAGCTACGTCTTGTGCATGTTGTTCTTCTTGTCGTCCTTTTTCTGAGAAGCGCTCGTGCGTGCAGCAGCTGCTCCGGTGCCACGAGGAGCACCAAAGCCGTGTCCGAATGAGCGGGAGAAGCAAGCGGAGTGCTTGCCGTCGAACATGCCCGTCTTGATCTTGGCGAAGTTAGTCCTGTATGAAGTGTCGATTTTGAACGGGGCTTCCCGCACGTGCGTCGTCGAGGGGCGAGTTGCGGGTGGCACCTGCTCGTGGAGACGGTCATTCGACGGCTGGGTGCACGTGGCGAGTGTAGAAGGAGATCTGTCTTAGTTTCTACTCGGCAAGCGTAGCGTACAACCGTACAACATCTTGAATCAAATGGAACGCACGGAACCCTGACAACCAGTGGGATGGGAAATTCACGACCACAACCTGCACCACAAAGGGCACAAAACGTGTCAATGTGTCAACTCTTTCCTTGACCCACCTTCTCCTTCTTCGCAAACCATTCCCGCCAAGTCGAAAAGGTGTCACCACCGGTAGCAGGCCAGGTAGCCGAGGCCGGAATGAGGGGAGACGTCGTCATCGCAGAATCCGCGCAGAGGTCGTCGTACGTAGCAGAGTTCTGATCCAGACGGTGGGAAAACGGAGGCGGAGTGGACAGGGACAAATGTGTAAGCGATGTTGTGCTGTAGCTGGTGCAGTCTGTGGCGAACTAGGGGGTGTACGGCGGTGTCCATCGCTAACTCTACCACGCTTTCCATTCGGCGGGTCTCTCGGCTGAACATGAAGCCGGCTCGTTTCGATCAGTTCGACAACGGTCAGCGAAAACCCAAGAAGAGTTTGCACAGTTTCACAACAGGCTCAAACGTGCGTCAGGCGAGGTGCTAATACAGCCCTGACTTGCAGTCGATGTTCTTCTCGGTACACGGTACACACACCGAAAACACTCTTGTTTCGACTACGTACCACGGGTGTAACAAGCTACTCGCGGAGTTCGCCAGCGATACTTCAGGACTGACCTCCATCGCCAAAGGCCTGGATGACGCGACCGGTCGGTAGGGAAAGACTCTTACCGCGACCGGACGCGTAGCGGGAGATGAGGATCGCAAGGGAGATTGCGGCCGGCCTCGTGATCGCGGGGGCGGTGAAGGTGACCGAGGGCGTGAAGAGTTCCTCGTTCTTCGCTCTCCCGTTACCGATGTCCGCCCCCTGCTCCCCGCGCTCGAGTGGTGCGGCTGTTGTCCGGCGACGGCTGCCGTGGCATCGCATCGGCTGTTCTCGAGAGAACGGAGCACCGAAGAAGAGCGTGCCGCAGCTCGTCGTCAAGTGCGTGCAGACACCGCCATGCCTATCGCCGGGAAAACGAAGTCGACACCCAGCTGACCGACGACGTTGGGGACGATGCTGACCCCGGTGACGGGCGGCGCCGCTTCCATCGGAGGCTCGTCTTCTGCTTCGCCACAGCTCGCGCTGTTCGCCGGCGCGATAGGCAGGGGGCACCTCTCAGTGGCGAGGCTCACCGGGTACCACAGGGACGGCTGCGACGTGCCGAGCACGAGCAGTGCGGGTGTGGGCCAGTGGGAGTGGCCATCCTAAGACCAGTGATTTCGGAGATCGGCATTTGCCGGGGGAGAAAGGGTTCTCGACGCCGCTCGAAGGAAACACCAACGTGCGGAGATACCGAGAAGTGCCGGCACCGAGAGCGAACATGAGATCGGTTGGGTGGCGACCATACAACAAGTGCTGTTTCTCTGGCAGGGACCAGAGCGGGGGATTCCGCGCCAACGTCTGCGGCGTGGGCCGGTGGAGTCCAGACAACCAAGGCCCGTTCCTGCTGTTTGGCGACGTTTCTCGGTCTTGGCCGCGTGGTCTTTCTGTGGACGTTCTCGTCCGTGGCACTCCTGCTGTCGACAAGATGGGGGAGAGAGAGCATGTTTGGTGTAAGGAAAACCTGGTATTTGTGTCGATGGCCACACATTTCTACCGACGCTCGGCGGTGAGTTGCGCGTGACAGGCTCATGGTTCAACGGGACGTCTATAACAAGAGCGTGCACGTCGGCCATCCAAATCGGGCAGCCAAGTAGGACTGGGACAATCTGTCGTGTTTCGATCGGACGATGACACAGATGACCCGGTGGTTATGTAGAGTTCACGGTCTTGGAACTTTTAACCCGATTTATCCTTGCTCGGTGCCCCCACTACCCGGTAAGGTGACGCAACAACGTGGTGATTGGTGGGTACACATTTGTAGGTTAGAGATTTCTCGGACATGTGGTCCACATAGGCTTTCTGTGTGATGCCAACGCGTTTTCCCACTTATTTACGTGTCCTTCAAGGACTCAACAAATAAACCCAAGATCAATCTAAAAAAAACGCAACAACTTGTTTGAGGGGCGGAGATCGAGCAATGTCTGTGTTTTACCGGTATTTGTTTACGCAATGACTCAAACAGCGATCAAACCAAACATTCGTGGTCGCACCTTGGGAAAAACGCCTTCACTGCCGATAGCGCCGCGCCGTACAGGAGCAGCACCTCGACAACGACGGAGTGAACAAGGCAAGAACACCAGACAAACGGCGTTGGGCGCAAGTCGGCATGAGTGATGTTGTTTGAATAAATAGACCAAGTGCATATCACGAAGGCCCAATCCGCGGCCAGTTTCTTCTACAATTGCTATTGCTACAAAACGCAGTGCAGGCCCGCCGATAAGAAACGTCAAACAGGTCGGGTCGAGGCCAAATTCATTTTTTCTTCGCCACCGTCGAGTTCAAGACATTGTTGAGTTACTCACGGGCGCACGAAAAAAAATCCGACACCTAACCCCTCAAACTTTTTTTTGGGACCGTCCGGGGGGGNGGGGGGGGGGGGGGGATGAGGCCTTCGTACCCCCCCTCAAACGTCACATGATTTCCTATCTAAACAAGTCCATTCTATATCCTATATATGACGTGGGCACATTTCATGCAAGGGGGTACTGTAGTACAATTCACGTAGCCCCTCCTTCCTCCAGCGTACCGCAGCCCGCAGCCAGCCGCGGTACCGTCAGTAGCAGAGGAGAGAGAGAGAGAGAGAGAGATGAGCTTGGGGAAAGTGGTCACGATGAGTATAGTCTCCGTGAGAGGGAGATGGAGGGCGAAGGCGCTCCACGCGAAAGCTCTCGAAGAAACGGCGGTTTGGTCTTGTTGAGGGAGGGGGTGGAGGGGCTTCGGGGAATAGTGAGTACAATGAATGCAAGGCAAATTCCAATTATTCTGGATGGCATTGGATGTTGCACGTGGCGAAGGTGATGCCACCGCCGTAGGCTCATGGACAGCCCCTCTTCGATATGTTGCCGGCTTGAGAAAGCTTGGAATGATGACGTTTCGACGCATGGCTACGTGTCATTTGGTTTTTCTGGTGTCATTTGGTTGTGATATTTCGCCATATTCGCCCAAGGTCAAATGTCGTGGACTTGTCGCAGAGGCTTTGAGAAGTTCTGAGTTACTTGTAGGTGAGGGGTGGTCCCGATGCACTACTGTTGTACTTCAAGATTTGAAAATCAAGTTTGAAGCGTCCCCAACCTGTCACAGCTTATTACATGCAGTACCACTCTGACCCGAAATCTATGCGGGACATGTATTTGAGGGAAACCGGAGTAGTATCAGGGACATTTGGAGTTTGATGTGTCAGACATGATAATAGACCGGAATACGTTCACAGCAATACACCTACAACACACACATGATGAATGAATGTGATATGCAACCCTGAAAAAAAGGGGATAGATAGGTCGTTATCATCCCCCCCTGGGGCTAACGGGGGATGATCAGGATTCTTCGAAATAAAAAAGGAAATTGACCCTTGTTTCAAAGTAATATTGTTCGGCTTAGGGTGGTAGCAATCTACACCTTCCTGTAACAAGGTCCTGCGTGCACGTCGTGCCGTAAACACCTCCACACGCAAGCACACGGAATGGAGAGGGAGAAAGCCAAGAAAGGCTAATCAAAAAAATTCCATGAAGAAAGATTTTTCACACTCCGGGGAGGGGTGAGGGGGGTGGGGGTTAGGTGTCCGACAAAACTTTTTTTGTGCGCCCTTGAGTTACTTATAGTGTAGGGCCCTCGACTGAGCTGCAGTCCTAACCAGTCGATATATTTCTTCATTGTATTATTCATGTTAATCGGAGCCCTTATTTCTTAATCGAATAGAGACCACTTCGCTGCCCACACTACCGTAGAGCAGTAAACTTGGCCTTCAGGGACACGTCGATCATACTCTCGCTGAAATGATTTCCGTGTGGTAACAGCATGTGAGATGTAGATAAGCGTCGAGGGCTCTCGAGCTCTCCAGATGCATGAACAAAGCGGCTCGCGCGAACCGGGTGCGCTTGATTGACGAATTAACCAAAACGTTTGTGCTGTAGGTTCGTCCGGCGTTTAGCCCGCTAGTCGGGTCTATGGGAGTTAGAGTTTTGATAGTGTACTTTCCACGGCGAGCACGAGAACTGAGTGTCGTCGTGGTGTTGGTGGGGCTGTGTAGTCCGTCCATGATCTCGACCATGCAGATGGTGTCGAATGTGAGCCGTCGTTGCTGATTTTCCTATCGCTGACCTGGTTCGTGCGCCATATGGGGAGCTAGTGTTTGGTGTCAAACCCGAACGATACAATGTAGCAGCTGTGGCATGCATGCATATAGATAGACTAATAGTCTAGGAGAACGCCACAAGAGTACGAATATTTTCATACATTCATTTCCACCGGTTGATCTGTGACAACTGCACGACGATGTACGTATGTACGTACGCGACAGGCTACGACCTAAGCCTCAGTCATATGTTGCCTCTCACCATGTTGGTCCAGTGGAGCTGTCGAGATGTATCTCGCTTCAGGAAGGCGTGGTGTCCGTTGTGGGAGAAGGCCAATTCTGACTGGACCGCTCGGAAATAAGATGCCGCGTGGTGTTCTTGCCCGTAGACCAGCTACTCTAGCTGGAAACGGAGCACGTAGGCTAACCTTGCTTCAGCGCAAAGAAGAGGACCCAGGAGATCACCTTGTTGGCCCGCACAAAAACTCTCTAAAGAAGTGGCGAGTCACAGCAGCGTGTGCAAGCGGAAGGGGTGTGAAGCGTGGTCAGGGTAATATTGGCGTCTGGGTGCGAACGAGACTCACTCCAACTACTTTTTTTCAACGGTCTCTTCCATTTGGCAGGCTCTTTTGAGTTAGGATGCCTCGAAACGACAGCAAAGTCTAGCATGTTCTGGTTTTCAAGCGGTGCTTGAGCAACGTACAATTACTTGCTTCGAGGTTTTGAATACAGCCCAAACTCCTGCTGCTGCGTATAGACTCCGTGGGTTCTCGACAGCGGTTGGACGCGTCAGAATGAAAGTCTTCGCCTTCCTCGGCAATTCTATGTTGTCGGTACTGCGATCTTTCGGTTTGTTGAGTTTTTTTTTTTTTTCTTGCTTATGGCCGTATCATCATTCAAATGATCCTAGAGTCTTTTGTTGCGGTTTATGCCTTCATGTGTGTTCCATGATCTATTTTTGGCGGCATGATTTCGTGTCGTCACCAAAATATATATTGAGAGAGGAGGATGCCTTGGAGAGAGAGGGCAGCCTTCGACGATATCATCCAGGATCTGAAGATCACACATAACAGCAATCACAGCGGTCAGTTCTCAACATCATGCCTGCAGCTTGAGATCCGACGAGGTCTGGTTTTGGGGCCAAGGTGTATTCCTCGTCATTTACTACACCACAACAACCAAGCCCTCTCCTGGCCATGCGGTTCACTGCCGTTTACGATACACGGTATGAAGCCCTCTACAAAAATGGGAGAGGCGGGCGTTCTTGCTGACTGCGTCATGTAGTAGTATTATACATTGCCCTGCTCTGCTCTGGCAGGGCTTCCTCCAATCCGAGGTCCTCTCTCTCCTTGGATCCTTTTTTTGAGGTTGAAGGGATTGAACGGGATTTATTTGTTGTTGTTGTGTGAAGGCTGCAACTAGATGCGTGGAAAAAAAAAAGACGACGCTGCGGAGGCCTTCGCAGACGCGTTGGCGTTCGCTTCATCGTTGCGCTTTTTCCGTAGACTGGCGATATCGCCGGCTTTTTTTGCCGAAGCGTTTGCGTTGGCGTTTGCTTTATCGTTTCGTAGACTGGCTATAACGCGGGATTTTTTTGCCGAAGCCGTTGCCGCCGCTGCCGAGGCCTTCGCAGACCTATCCTTTGCCGCTTCATCGTTGCGCCTCTTATTGCGCCTCCCACTGGCCATGTCGCCGGTTGCTTGTGCCGAAGCCGTTGCCGCCGCTGCCGAGGCCTTCGCAGACCTATCCTTTGCCGCTTCATCGTTGCGCCTCTTATTGCGCCTCCCACTGGCCATGTCGCCGGTTGCTTGTGCCGAAGCCGTTGCCGTTGCTTCATCCTTCCTTGTGCTTCATCCGTTTACGGGCCACATCATCCCCATTATTATTGACGGAAGTTACCGAACTTGTTTTCGCAGCTTCGGCCTTTGCCTG